TAACAGATTTGTGTGTTGGCTACCATAGTTTTTAAACCCCTTGATTTTATTGTAGTGTTTATAGTATGTTATTCTCTTTGGGGTACAAATGTGTAAAATATGTATTTCAGCATACAAAAACTGTGTATCAACACCCAAGGACAGGAGTTAGCTTGTGCAAAATTATGGTATGGGGCATAACTCCTTGGGAGAACCCCATTGTGATTGTAAGCACTTCAGAACAATGCTGACTTGGTTCACCCAAGCTGAGCAGGCATGCTGAAATGTCCAACTGGCCCTTTTGCTTGGGTGCTAAGCTTTCACATCAGTGCCCAGCTCTTTTCAGCCTCGCTCTCCTTTGCCTGGTGCTAGATACTAAATCGCTGCAGTCCCTTCACCAGCTCCTGCTCTTTCTCTCAACTGCTGACAGATGTATCCTGCCTTCTTATTCCTTCTCCCATGGTACACAGTTCTCCTTGCTACTCTCTTCAATCCTTTTGCTCCTTAATCCTGGTTCTGAGAAGGGGGTCAATAATCTGGGTTGAGCTCCTTCCAGGGCAAAGGGATGTTGGAGGCAGCCATCCCAGAATGCATGCTGTGCTGCATGCTCTGTTCTGCTCCTGTCTCTCTGCTTTGGGTGCCCTTTGTGGCGTGTGAAAAGCAGAGCAGTCATCTGCAGTGGCTGCACTAGCTATGACATTAGTTGAACACTGTGACACACAGCACAGCTGGGAGGTGAGTTGTAACGCCACAGAGTCACAGAACATGCAACTGATGTGAATTGGCAACTGGGACAGGGCTTTACTGTGTTCTAGAGGTTCCTACAAAACTAAAACAAACAGTAATGGCCAGCAGGAAAGCCAGGTTGCTGCCTAAAAAGGAGTTGCCATGAAATGTCATTGATTAACTCTCCTTGCAAAGCTAGAACATGTGTCTCCTATGGGCAGAAGATGTGGGTACGGTACAAATCTATGACCTCCTATTTTTGAGGGCAGGAGGTAGGTCTGGCTGTGATGGAGATCCTGCTTTGAGATAGATCCTGTGTAGGGAAATATTTGAGTTTAGTGCAATTCTAGATTGTTTAATTCTCCTACATTTTTTTGACATTTAGGCACTTTGTTCATGTGAGAAAGTCACTTTCTCCTTCCCTCTAAAAGATGATTCTTTTCACAGTACAAATGAATTTTGTCTGCTTGAAAATAAGCAAAGGAATACACAATATTTCTGGAGGAAGCAGTAAAAGGGGTAGGAGGGATCTGTCCTAATTACTGCCTGGCTGGCATTATTTGTTGACATATATGTATGAAATGTTCCTGGCGCTGTTCTTTGCAGGCTGTATCTAATTTTCCATTTCTCTATTTAAAATAAGCATATATTCACACTTGTTCCTTTCTCCACTATATGAAGCTGTTACATATGTGTAATTGTGTTTGCATGTCTGGTAAGTAAAACTGTGTGAAGGATATCCAGCCACCAGACAATGTGTGAACTGAATTTCTTAATAAGCAGAGGATACATTTTTCTGGGGTGTTGTATTTCCAGCAACTGCAACTTCTTAAGAATGATAGAGCCGGAGCTGCCCTTCATCCTGCTAATCCTCAGCTGCTTATTCCGGCCCCCTTTGAAATACTAGCAGCTGACAGTTTTTATGTCAGACCTTGTGCACGTTCATGTTCATGGCAGATGAACACAGGAATCTCTTGTCTTATTCAGCTGATCATGTTCCTGTCTGCTCTTGCATGTTAGAGTTTTGGAGCAATCCCAGTATTTGGTAAAAGGGAAATACTAAATTTTGGCTAGCATAGTGGGATCTCTGGCTCTGTAAAGTTTGTCCAGTTGGCAGAAAACTGTAGCAAATTTTTACTGGGGTAATATAATGTCAGAAATGAAACTGAGTTAACTTACTTGATATTCCTGTAATCTATATTAAATTATTCTGATTTATGGAATTTAAATTGCTGGTAAAAATATAAAATGAAGAATGGAAGAAGAAGTTCTTCTCAAATGTAATTTAATACTTAATTCTTATTCTTCTAAATCTAAACACAATATAAATTTTACCTATTATTAAAGAAATAGTAGACTTTTCAAAATCTTGCCAATAAATATATAAAATGATAGCCCTAGAAGCAGCAAAATAATTGTTGTGTATGAATAGGAGTAAAGGATTTGCAGCAGTGTTGTAGAGTAATTAAAGGGTATTTGGCTTTGGGCTTGTTTTATGTTATCTTTTTCTTTGGAACACTTTGAGAATTTTTATTTCTTATAACTTGTTTTTATTACTTCAGATAAGTGGCTCTTTTGAAAGGTATCCAAAAAGTAAATAATCTGAAAAACTCTCTTAAATTTGTAGTATTGGAATATTCTTTGTCCTGTTGAATGATTTTGAATTTCATGCTTTAATATGATACTCTTATGGCTGCATAAGTATTGTAAATCATGTGTGCCATAATAATATTACAACTGTGTCTTTTGACCGTATGAAAATATAAGTCACCCAGCATACTTATCTGTATATTGTAACATGACTGGAACTTTGCTGTAGAATCTAATTGACCATAGTTAATAGCCAATTCTTTCCTTGGTCCTAGATTTAAGAAATGTTGTGGTGTTACAGGGAATATAAAGGAATAGAAAGAACAGCTTTACTTTTTTTTTTTTTTTTTTTTTTTAAATAGGAAAAGAGCTTGCAGAAGCAGTTAATGCCCATTCTAAATTTTCAAATGTTTATATATAATTTATTTATACTTGTAATGGTTGATGTAAAATGCAGTTACTTTGATTTTAATATGTCTTAACAACACATAAAAGAGTTAAAAACTCTTGTTACCAATTGAAATTAAATAGGGGAATGTAAATTTGATGTCTGCTTCAGAATGCAACACATTTCAGTTTTAATACAGCCCCTTCAGAAAACATTGATCTGAAAAGGTTCCTCTCCTGCCTTCTATCAAAAGGTTAATCTCAAAGTCAAAAGTTTGTCAGTTATTTGAGAAAAATATAGTTTTAATGAGAGTTAATATGATCTTTCTTGTTCGTGTTCACGGTGTATTTTATGCATGCTGGAATTTACTCTGGGGAAGAAGAGAAGGCTCAAGAATCAAAAATTGGGGTGACCTTTCTTTGCGGTAGCTGCAGCTGTCCTGTCTATGATGAGAAACATGATGAAGATATATATTACTGACCTTGCACCTAAGCAGGTATAGAGAGGCCTGTGGCCAGGATTCTCAAATTTGGGAGAATAAAATTAGGTTCTTTAAACCATTTTGTAGTGCCTAAGTAATAGGAGAAAATTTTACTCCTATTAAGTGGAAAGCATATTTGAAAATTAATTTACAGCATTTTTGTATCTGAAGATATGTGTAGATGCTTAATTCTGGTCTCCAGACTTTAAAAAATTTGACCTCTATATTTTAAGGTATCATAAGTGCACTCTCAAGTGACTCAGTATAGTTTGATGATCCAGCATTACCTGCTGCTAAAGTATGCTTAGGAGAAAGATCCCCCAAATCTGTTCTCAATTCTTCGTGTTCATACACTGTTGTGTGATTTCAGTCAGTTTGTATTCTCCTCTTGGTGACAATGGCAAGTGTATTTTTTAATGTAAAGACTTGTGTAACCATTAACTTCTAGTAGAAAACATTTTTATTCTGAAAGGTGCTGGATTTCTAAATTGGCTGTGATAGGAGATGACAGAGTAGTCGAGGAATGGAAAAGCTAGGCAACCAAATTAAACTAATGAGGAGAAACCAGTATTTTCTTTATTGAGGGCAAGGTTTCATTTCAACTCTGTGCATCTGCTGGGAAAAGGAGCTCTCCTGCTCTTGCTCTCCGTCTCTGGTAATAACCCCTGCCTCCATGAGAATATATGACAAGCCAGTTCAGGAAGAAAAACATCAGATAATTAACCCAAGAATAAAATCCCTTATTTTTCTGGTTTGGTTTAAAAGCTGCCTTGCTCAGGAATGAAATGAGAGGAAGCAGAAATGATGTTTTTGGTCATTTGGCCAAAATGTGAAGGAGGCATGGCCAGTGAGGTCTAGAGAGCAGGAAAAGATAAAAATTTGCAGGGAGAGAGTTCTGTCTGGATCATTTTGATGATGTAAAAGGGGAAATTAGCATGAGAAAATGTCTTAACATCACTTTGTAAGGGAGGTCTATGCCCAGTGCTCCTCTGTTCCACTCCTGCAACTAAAGACTAACAGAAGTCACTGCAGTGTTGATGTAGCTGTAAACAGCTGGACTTCTTTTCAGACTTATTGCTGTTAGTGGTGTACTGGAAAAATGATAATAAGTTTTGAGCAGAGAGATCTTGGACAGAGAGTGAGGTCATAAGTAAGACTATTCTGTAAAGGGGAGAGAAAAATTTAAAGAGGGGAGAGAGAAGAGAGTGCTGAGTATATGAAGAATTAGATGAATGGAAAAAAAATTGAGATATGAGAAGGAGCTTATTTAACAGATGAGGCATTTTCATTCTATTTCAATAATACCTCATCCTCATACTGTGTGTTAACCTTCCTTCCTTTTGTCCTCTCTACTGTTAAAATGAATTTATCTTGATAATCTAGTGTCTATTTTTAATGTCATGTCCTATTGAAAACTCCGAACGTCAGCTATTATCTTATCACACTCATGCTTCTCGGAGAAATACATGTGGGTGGTTGTTGTTATTATTATACACCAAACAGCACCAATTCACACATGTAGTAGGCATTCATTCATAGGAGGTGTGGGATTGCCAGTGGAAAATAAGTTGTTCTGTTTTCTGTTTTGCACTACACCATTAATAGTAGTAGTTGCATCAGACAATGCTAAGCAGATCTGTTGTATTGCAGTGTTGTAAAGATGCCCTCTTAAAAGAGCTTTTTCAATTTTTGCTAATTGTGTATGCTTTGGTTTCAATATGCAAAATTATTGCAGAATCTTCTTTTCAAATCTCTATTAGATATTATTGGAAAGATGAATTTTGCCACGAGGGCACCAGAAATTAGGATCATTGTTTTAATCTCATTTTTTTTCAGGTATCCAACTGCCAAAGGAAGATGAGATTTCAGTACCTGTGACTTCAAGCTCCCCAGTTAAGGATAATGGGGAGAATGTTGATCTTGACACTGAACAGGAAGAGATGATGAAAGAGGAACCATTAACCATCTCAGAACTGGTATACAATCCTAGTGCCAGCTTACTGCCCACCCCTGTTGATCATGAGATTGACATGCTTTTTGATACCTGTCCGAGAGCAGAGAATGAGAAAGATGATACAGATTCATTTGAGGAACTTGAAGCGGATGAAAATGCATTTTTAATTGCAGAGGAGGAAGAACTGAAAGAAACTCGGAGAGCACTTAGATGGAGCTATGACTTTCTAATGGGCAACATAGAGGTGAATGCTTTTGTGAAGAGTTTCTCCAGACTTTTTCTTGTAGGCCTTGGACTGTTGTTGTTTGTGTTTCCTCTTTTCCTTGTTCTCTTGGAGTCGGACCTTCAAATCTCTTTCCTCCATGAAATCCGTCAGACGCCGGAATTTCAACAGTTTCATATTGAATATTACTGCCCCCTTAGGCAGTGGGTGGCTTGCAAAATAAACTTCATGCGTGATATGCTGGGCAGCTTTTAAATTTTGCATAATATGGTATAACTAAGGGCTATATTCAAAATTTCAGTTAGTGCCAGCTTTCCATAATGCCCCTGGACCCATCAGTTGATAGCTGCCTTCATATATACAGCTCTTTACAGACTTTTCAGGTTCCTAAATTCCCTTTACATATTTAAATTACTAATTTTGTTACAGGCTTATACAATCACCTTTCAATAACCAAAAAGAAGCTTTATTTTAATTACATTTCAGAATTCCTGCTCATCTATTACATTATATTAGAGAGAGTCACAATAAGTTTAATTGTCCTTAACTTTTCAATCCATGACACTAAAACTGATGATACTGAAAGAAAATCTTTTTGAATATACTCCTTAGTGAAACAATCTCTTCTAACCAATGCCTATACAAGCAATGTTTATGCTGGGTTTTTGTTTTTTGTTTGTTTTTCTGTTTGTTTGGTTTTTACATTTTTATGTGTTTAAAATACTTTGGTAAATTTTTAGCAAAAGACAATTTATGATGTCGTTTAAATGTACACATTGGTAAGAATAATACACAAGGGCATGTGGGGTGTTTTTAGTGGTTTAGCATTTATTTGTTTTTAAACAACTGGCTGTAGAATGAATGAGTTTAATGTAGTTCTATACAGAGGGAAACACATAGAAAGTTCACTCAAGTTCAGTAGAGACTGCCTGGGCAAGGTGAAAGACAGCAAGTACACAGGAGAATTTCTGAAAGGCAGAGCTGTAAAGCTTGGATAAGCGAGCAGAATTGAAATGATCCTTTTATCTGTTAGGTTGTGTTCCACTTTATCAGTGCTGTAGAAAGTCAATACAAGACAGTCCAAGTGCGTTTAGAAGGATACAGAGTTTTCAGTCTATATGTAGATTATTGTACATAACATGGAAAACAATATTAGTAACTAGTAAAAAAAAAAAAAAAAAAGGAAAAAAAAGAGCCAAACCTAAAACAGTGGGTGAGAGACTTACTTTTGAGAATTATAAAGAATAGGAAAAGGAGAAAAAGGAATAAATTTTTCATATTCCTTTTTCTAAGCAAAACATTAGGCTGTAAAGTTGACATAAAGTACTCTACTGGCTCACAGTTAAAGGCTTAAACATTCTGAGATGCATCTTCATCCTTGATGCCCATTATTAATGAGCTCTAAAACATATTTTATGTGTACTAATATGCTTTCTTTCACATATAACAGCATACTTACCCTTGTTATTATTAGCCCGGTTACAAGATCTAATGCTGTTTTGTGTAACACGGATCTGTATATCTAAAGATATTCCAATATAGCTTAGAGAATATACTTAAGTAAAAATCTTGTCAATGCCGAGAACATTTGAAGGCCCTCAAATATACCACAGAGGTTGTATTTAAGACTAGAAAGTTTTTATTCATCCCCCTCCCCAGTCTTAGTGCAGACTTGTTTCATGTTTAAACAAGGGAGCTCTGATTTGGGCTTCAAAGTCTTACTCCTGCTTAGACATTTATGAATTGGAGACACGCCTGAGACTAGTTTATTAGATGTGCATTTAACATATTATAACCAGATGTCTAATTCCTACTGATTAAATTCCTTTAGTTTCAATATCAGCAAATCTGTTTTGCTTGGTTTTCTCATGTAAGCCTTTGCAAGTACCTAGTTTGAAAATGGCAATTTTCTTAGAGGATTTCTCTTCCCTTCTAATCTTCTCCAGTTTTTAAACAACAGAACAGTTATAGGGCTTGGGAGTTCCTCTTCTCAGTTGAAAAATTTTGGATTGCTGTTCATTTCCCCTCCAACAAAGGCTAAAGTAAATAACTGCTTTTTTTTCTCTCGTGTTTGTCCTTGCCAATCTGTTTCCCAACAGAATCATTACTGATTAATTATTTAATGTGTATTTCTTCCTGTGCTACTTGCATCTAAGTGATCCTTTCCCATAATGTAATAATCATTCAGCCTAATAGAAATGGTGAGTGAACTAACTAGACATTGGGTCTTCACAGGAAATAATTCACTTGCATTGTTTCTAAACAAAGGTGTCACAAAAGGTGTTTTGAGTAGTGAAGGCTGTGAGAGCTGACATCCTGCTGCACTGTGGAGACATGGTTCCATACAGGCTCCTACGAAGTCTGGTAACTACTCAATAAAAAAAAAGTTAGATCCTATAGTCTTGTCCCTGTGAATTACAGCACTCCAGAAGTAGGAGTATTGTAATGCTTGATTTAACTCTATCAGAAAATAGCTCAGTTGCATGAAAATGTAATCTGCGGTGCAGTGAAGTATTATGTAGGATTAAATGCAAGTGTGTGTGCACATGTCCCTACATTTACTAACCATGTGCATTCAGGCTTGGCCTCTTAAAATTCTTCCTTTCCTTCCTGATATTCTCTGGTCTATCAACATAATTTAACTGAAAGTCATGAGATTCTTGTAACTTAAAGACCAGGACCATGTCATACACAGAGAAGGGTATGGTTAGGTATATTCAGAGAGAGTAGCAGTATCGTATTTTGTTAGTAAGGATGACAGACTTGGATAATGGAGCATCTGTAGGTACAGTATTGTGTATTTCTGTCTGTACTTGGTTTATATTGTAAAATGTTATGTACTTGAAATCTATTTTGTGATTTGTCTACCATTTATAAACACAACTCTGGGAAGAATTAAAAATGGTTTTATTTCATGGAGTGTAAGGGGAAAATATACCTGTAACTTGAGCCTTATCTTTGTACAGTGAATTTCACATTTCTATATGTCAGCATCCTGATTGTTTTGTATGTTGATATGATGGCAGGAATCCCTAATAAAATTACACTGGAGAAAAGCTTTCTGTAGTTATGACAGTTTTTGTGGTAAAAGATGTTCTATAAATAACAGCTTTTGTCAAGAAATACTTGGTACATACTATAGTGCAGTTTACTTAGAACTTTTGCAATGTTTTTGCATATTTTTTTTTATTCATCAGCTGGAGAGACACTAAAAGTGCTTTAAGATAATACTAATGTGGCTTGAGGTTCATTAACCAAGAGCCTATTGGTTTGCCTGGTTACCACACAAAAGTTAGTCAAAATCTTGAATTTGCCCCAAAATACAATTGCTATGAACAGAATACAAACTAAGAAGCTGATTTTACAGTCAGGCCCTGGTGCTGACATGTAGCTGCAATTGTTTGGAGGTAGGTCTGCCTAGACCCTTATGCAAGCAGAGCTGTGCAGCCTTTGGTGGAAGCTTGCTTACACTGAGTTGGTTTGGAGCTCAGTGCAAAAGTATTTGGTAAGAAATGTACAGTCTGCAGTGAGACAATTGAATATCATTTTGGGGAGCTAAGAGAAATAGAAGCTATATCTTGAACACTTAGATGCGGATATGACTGTACTGTATAGAAAGAAAATCTACATAGACTCTGGCAATTTGAATTGTAAAGGGACAGGACTATATGGTACAGGTAGACCTATTGATTCAGTTAAAATGGTGTAGCTTATAACACAGCCTTAAAAGAGATTGTATTCCTGCTTTAAAATAAGAACACAGTATATCCTTCTCAACACTGTTTGCATTCTGAAGTACTTACCACAATGAAACTAGTATTTTTGAAAGAAAATATTTCTAGTTTTAGTAGAAATTCAGCATTTGTCATAAATTCTTTATGAATAATTACCTGCAAATTTCTCTGAAATTACAACTTGCTGAAATGTCACGCCAGATATACATTTGAAGAAATCAGGCTGCATTAGTCAGTGCTATTAATTGGTGCTAATGGTTGCTGTAGGAACTTGACAAAAGCTGTATTGGCCAAACTGGAGATCACTGGTAGGCAAGAAACATTATTTGAAAGTCAAGGTATGTTTCTTAACTTTTTGTTTAGTTTTGTTGTTTGTTTTTTTTGTTGTTGTTGTTTGTTTTGTTTTTAAATCCCAAAAGAAATAATTGCCTCTTCTGTTTGTATGGATTTGCTGTAGATTTTCTTGAAGCTGTTGTTCTATATGGAAAAGGGTCTGAGATACCTTGTGATCTCTGCTGATTCAGCTGTTAGATGTCCATCTCAAAAGACTTTGATCCCATAGTCTTACGTCTTTCATTCTGCCCCTTTGCAGAGTTGAATTCTTCATTAGCTTTATCCTTCTCAATCTGAAGGAACTGTTCTGACATTTAGAAGCTGTCTTGCTTGCAGGTGTTTTCTTTTAAGGCAGGTTATTGATGTTCATCTCAGCAAGATGAACTCCCTGCAGCAATTTTATTTTACACTGTTACAAAAATTAACAGTTTGCCTTTTCCACGTCTTGTAGCTACTTCCAGAAATCATGGGCACTCTCTCTGTGAAGTGATGCTTAAGGATGTAGTATGAATTTAGAGCTGTGACATCACAAAAGTTTTCCTGCTATAACCAACCACAGCTCAGTGCTTGTGCATTACATTAAAGAACAATAAGGCATTAATTTCTCCTTCAGCATCATATAGTGATGGAGTACAAAAAATAGTTATAAAAATAAAAATTCAACATACACTTGAAAAATTACTTTTTCTATTTATTTCATCCTGACCTTTCCCATTTTTGTTTACTTTTCATTTCAATGAAGATATATTTGTTGAGCTAATGAAATGACAGGTCCTCTAGGGAATCAAACTGTCTCCCTAGAATCTTCATCAGTCTCCTGATGAACAAATGCCACTTATTAACTGCCAATTACAAAAGATGAATGGAACATAATTGGTTTAAATGGACTAGAAATCAAAGAGGAATCGGTTACATTTCTTTGACTGAAGAGAATAATTAAGTATATTCTTTGAATCTACTTAATTATATACAAGTAAATAAATAAAAAATATAATCATATAATACATACTGATTTGATCAAAGAATAATTAAATACATTGATTTAATAAAGTATGTATTTCTGGAAAGATTGTAGACAGAAGAATATGGAAAACCTTTCAATTGTCATACTATATAGCCTATTTTAAATCTGTAGTGAAAAGGTCTACTGTGTGTACTGTCTCCTGAAAAGTCTGGTTTTAAAACCACCTTAAAATATTTCCTGATTTTCAGTATTATGCATGTTAATAGCTCCCTAAAGAGAAGTTTTGAGAGGGCTGCAGGTATTTTTGAATTAAATTCTAGTGCAATGAACCTGGCACTAAAAACTTCAATGTCACCTTATGTGTCCCCATTTTTGTCAGATCTTCAGGTTCTCAAATATTCAGGTTCTTCTTCACACAGATAAAGCTGGATGGACATAAAGATATACACTTTAGGTATGGGAAAAGAGACTTCTGCACAGCCAAATAGAAAAAAACCCACCTTTTGTTGAGCACAAAGTTTGCTTAATCTTGTTCTTGAGATCTAAGCCAACAGCAGTAATTCTCACTGAGGTGTATAACCACTGTAAATGCCAAACTGAGTAGCACAGCCTCATGATTCTCTCATGACCATCACTATTCCTTTACTGGTTTTGTCTAGCTGATGGCATGTGCCATTTCATTCTGAGATCCTGGTATGTCCACCAGGGAACTGTAACAACAAAGGTGATGTAAGGAGATATCTGTGCTGTGATAATGGGTATAAATCCAAAATAAACATCAACTGCTGGTAAAAAACAGATTGTGTCAACTTTACTTCATAACTGCCTATCTGTGCAATTTCAAACTACTGTTAAGCCAGCATAGCTATCTTGTATTTTCTTTGGACAGCTCACCAGAAATATCACCTACTATATATTTGAGACCATTATTCTATCCCCACAACTCTCTTTTTCTCAGACAGATGGGAAATTCTCTTGCCTTATTCCCCCTGCCCTCTCCCACCCACATTGCTTTCCCCAGAAGTTTTTATAGAACCTCAAACATGATATAAAACATCATGGCTCTAAAGAGCATGAAGTGTTATAGTTGCTCAGAGAAAGGGCTGATCTCTTCTTCTAATGTGTGAGCTAG